GGGGTGTCATGCACTCAGCACCCAGCCTCAAATGCTGACTTGTGTTTGGTTGTCTTTGTCCTTAAGTCCCAGGAATCTGAAAACTCGGGAAACTTAGCAAACTCTTTAGAAGAAAAGGTAACGGGAGAGTCAATCAGCAGTAAAAAAAAGGAAAAAAGGAAGCACGTGGACCACGTAGAAAGTTCAATATTTATAGCACCCGGCACCGTCCGATCCTCAGAGGACCTAGAAGGAGACACGGGTGACCACAAAGTCCTTTCCAGGTATTTTATCACTGTCTTCTCCCCCCAGAGACCGAGCTAGAGAGTTACTCCCTGAGTTCATGTCATTCTTGGTTTCTGATTTGGTGTGGGGGGGGGGGGGGGGGGGGGAGTGGGTGGGGGGAACACAGGGACGGGACCGGATGGCAAGGGAAACACAGGTTCGTACAAAAATTCATCCAGCCAGTTGGTCATTTATTTGCCAGAATCAGAAACGGATCGGTCCTCCTTATCTACACCCTGCTCCCCGGCCCTGCCCGGCCTCCCCGTTACCAGGCCCGCTCGTACGCGGCAGGGCCCGGCGGACACGAAGCCCGCCGTCTCCCCTCTCCGAGTACCTTTGGGTGGAAACTGGCAGTGGGCGGCAAGATGGCCGAACCGGGGTAGGTGTGGGGTGTGAGACGGTGCGGTGTTCGAGGCTCTGCGGACGCCCCGGCCCCCGGATGCCCCCTGGCTGGGCTAGGGAGAGAGCCAGCCTAGCCATTTATAAGCATCTCACAGAATTCAAAGCAATGTGCTCCATAGGCACGGGGTGGGGGGACCTTTCATGGCTGTCACATGGAAGCCGGACGTGAATGATGTGGCTTCACCTGTGAGTTTGGGTCCCAGGAAGTGAGGCCCGTTGACTCGGCTCTGGGGGAGGAGGAAGCTCGGAGCGCCCATCTGCTCGGTCACTCCGAGGGCACCGGGTGAGCCGGACTGGCCCCAGGGAGAACACTTAGCTGCCGAAATGTCAGAAGATCCCGGTTCCTCCCCGCCGTCCCTCGTCGCCACCATGGCCACTGTTGAACGTGCCCTAATGTGTTCCAGCATTTCGCATACGGTCCCTCATCAGTTCTCACAGCAGCGCCTTAGGCGGGTAGGAGGGACCATGCTTCATCACCGTGGGCGCAGGGGGGTCTGGGGACACCTCCCAGCCCAGGAGATGACAGAGCTGGGGTCTTGGACTCAGACCCGTCGGGCTCCATGACCCACATTCTTTCCGTGACCCCTCATTGCCGGCAGTGGGGGAGCCACACTGGCTGCGAAAGGGAAGTTGTTGAGATCAGCATTTGGGGAGGAAGTGGGGAGAAGCCAGGGCAGACAGAACCAGAAGGAAGAGTTGGCGGATGTCCTGCCTTCCATCTCCCCTCCGCTATGCTTCGGCTCCTGGGTGGGCTACAGGGGACGAAAGGAAAACAGGTGGGGGGGCCCAGGTGAGGAAGGGCAAGGCACAGCGGAACGCTGCGTTCCCACTTTGCCCGTGACCCCCGGAGTCCCTCTCCCTGCAGAGACCTGGTCATGACCGTCCGGCGGACATCCTTGTCTTGGCGTGCAGCCCGGACCCAGCTCTAAGTGCAGATGGCCCGCATGGGCAGGTGGCCCAGGCGACCATCTTCTCCAGCACAGCTCGCTCGAGGAGGGGCCACGGGTCATTTCCAGACGGCTGTCCCTCTTCACTAGGGGAAGATGCAGGCATGGCTCCAGCCCCCCGGGGGCTCAGGCAAGCAGGAGGGAAGGCGCGCCCCCTCTTCTGTGCTGGAACCGAGGGGAGCACCTTAGGTGCCAAGAGGCACGCGCGGATTTCACCTTGTGGACCTCAGAGGCAGGTGGAGAGAGCGTCGGGGGCACCTGCAGGCTGAGATGTCCTTCGAGCTCGGTACAGAAGGATAGTGGGATCTGGACTTGGGAGAGGGACAGAAGGCGTTCCGGGTGGGAGAAAGAGCCTGAGCAACCAGCTGGCACACAGCAGCCACCCCAGGACGTGCAGGTCGGATGTGAGGGGGTCAGGGAGAAGCAGGGGAAGGAACACTGGGGGATCGATCATCTGGGACACCTGCTGCAGCCAGACATCAAGCAAAACCCGTCCCAGAGGAGATGAGACAGAGGGGGCGGATGTTCAAAAGGCAACGTTCTGTCGGTGTGTGTGGGAGTGAGGCCCGGTTGACTTTTCCCGGCGAAGGTTTGAGCGACGTGCACGTCCTTCTGTGTAGAGCAGACAACAGTCCCCTCGGCGGCGGCTTCCCATCCCACTCGGGCAAAGCTGTAATTATTACGTCGCATTTCAGCCGCGGGGAAGGCTGCGTGCCAACGCACGCAGAGGGCGCAGGGGTGTGCTCCAGAGAGAACGAGTGAGGCCCCCTGCGCCCCTCCCCTGTGCCAAGCCGTTTCACCTGCAGTCCGGCAGGTACCACCACCCCCCTTTCGTGACCGAGAAAGTGAGTTCGGAGAAGTCAGTGCCTCGCCCAAAGCTCTCGAACTGGACAGAGCCCCCGGGCACCTCCCTGCCAGGCACACACAGCATGTTTTCCTGGCTGTACCTTGACTGGGGCTTCCCATTGTTCTGGGCAGAAAGGGCCATTGTTCCAGAGCCTTCCCGACAGGTCTCCCCCGGCTCTCATCTGTGTCCGTTCTTGGTCACCTCTGTCGTCCTCCCCAGCCCGCCAAGCACCTTGGCTTTAGTTGAGATCCTTGAATGGCCCCTCGAGCTCTTTTGCCTTTGAGGACCCTCTGTCCCCAGCTTGTTCCCTGTCTTGCTCCTGGGTTTCAGCTCCTGAAACCACTTCCTCCAAGCAGCCTTCTTAGATTCCTCCAGGCTACTTTTAATCCCCCTTTATAGACTCTCACGGTCTCTACTCTTTTTCTTCACCGCATGAACCCAAACAGGAATGTCTCCAATTATTTGTGTAAGGATGTATTTGTCATCTGCTCTCACCTTAGACGGTGAGGCAGCTCCCTGGAGGCTGGGGAGGGCACCCAGCAGAGGTCCAGAGCTTAGCACCGCACTGGGCCTGCAGCTGGCCTTTAATAAACATTCTCAGGGGCGAATGTGAATAAATAAATGCATTGCTCTCTTAATAGTCTGTGGAGGGCGGGCTCCTGAGGAGCCGGGCCCTCAGCCGCCCGGCCCAGTGCCTGGCACACAGTAGGCGCTTGATAATGCTTGCTGGGAGGAGGGAGTTCGGGATACAAAGCTGAATCGGCCTCCAGCGGATGGTACCAGAACACAGAAACCACCCGCAAGAAGGTACGCCGAAAGCTAGCGGGAGAAGAAAGAGCAGGAGCCCTTCCTGATGTTGACCCGCCTTTTAGTAGAAAATAGGATCCGCAGGTGGGAGTTACCTGTGTCTCCAGGTGCTCCCGTGAGTCGGGTCAACACTTATGGGACATTGCTGGGGCCCAGGCACCTGACGGTCTCTTCTCTTTGTGGTGCGTTTTGTGTCGTGTCCGTGCCGTGATACTCGCTCGCCTAGGCTGGCCCAGTGCCTGGCACGTAGTAGGTGCTTCATGCCTATTAGCTGGAAACATGCCCGATGCAGGGGAAGAGGTTGGTGAGGGTCCGGTGGGCGGGAATAGCCAGGCTGCCGATATGAATTCCCTGGCAATAAGCTCGTGGGTCAGATGCCTTTTTCTTGGACCCCCGGATGGCCACACGGTAGGTCCGCCTTGAGGAAACGGAAGTGATTGTCTCTGATCCCCAACACCTCGCTCTCCTGTTGAGTGGCAAGACAGGGCCACCGGGACCTGGCGTCTATGCTGTACTTCCCACCAATACCGCAGCCCCGTGACGTAGTCGGGGTGGGGATGATGATCCATTTTACAGATGAACGAAACTGATCCGAGACATAAAACACGTGGCTAAGGTTGCCAGTTAATCGACCAGGAGCCGGGATACGGCCCAGGCCACTGGCTGGGCATCTTCGGCCGCCGCCCTGGGTGAACCAACTTCAGCAGATGATCAGAGATACGTTCCCCATCAGCCTCAAAGATATGGTCAGAAAATCGGCCTCCTCGTGCCTGAGAGAAAAAGAGGTACAGACCCCCGAGAGCTGGACAGAGAGCAGCCTTGTGCCCAGAAAGCACTAGAAAGGGAGTCTGGATAGCAGGTCTCAGCCCATGCGTGACATGAACATTCAGAGGACCTTTGGCAATTCCCAGATCTTGGGATGCTCAGAGAAGGCCCTCTGTTTCTTCCCGGAAACCCTATGACTTTTGAAAACACGTGGTCTGCTTTCTATTTAAAATTCTCAGTTGCTTTTTCTTTTTTTCTTTTGGATGAGGCCACAGTGTGTCTCTCTCTTACCCATCCTACTGTTTGTAAGCACACTCCAACCCAAGTGGGCGTGTTGGATACAGTTGCTCCTTTCCGTGGCTGGGCCTGAAGTCATAGCTGGCCTAAACCCACGTGTGGAAGACTTGGGGCGGGGGTGGCCATACAGGGGGACCCGAAGAGCTCCCGGTGGCACCAATTCAAAACGTGTGTTTATTTTTCAGGACTAGTCACAGTGACTCCAGCATTTACATTCGACGACATACTAACAGGTCTTTGGAATCGGTTAGTATGGGAATTTCTTCTTCTTCTGCGTGGCCCCTGCTAAACCAATCCCTTCCCGTCCTTCCTCCTCCCGGCCCAGAGCTTTGAAATTACTGACGTGCAACAAATGTACTTTTGGATAGAAGACAAGCAAATTCACACCTTGTCGTTGAGCACAGTCCCACCGGATGTCCAATTGGGGTTCTAGGGGATGTAAATAAAGTGCTGACTGTAAACCTCGAAGTCCTCTTTGTTGTAAAAAATGCATCCAAGACCTGCCACCCAGCCCCGCACACGCCCCCAGAAAGACCACCCTCAAAGACAGAGCGCAATGTAGGCGGAGGTTCCAGTCTACCTTCGCAGCTACTTAGCCCTCGATGTGTTGGGGCCCAAAGCACGGGGGGGTGCCGCAGCCCGATTCGGGTTGTGGGCGGTGGGGCACCAGCCGGGGGCTGGGGGAGAGGGTAGAACACCAGTAGAATATCAGTTAGCAGTTTGATTTTGGAACTTAAATGCTTGCGATATTGAGAAAAAGCGTGGCATGCTCGGCTTTGTATGTTTAAAATCGTTTTATTTTCTGTTTCAGAGATTTCATCTTTACTAATTGGGTTGCGGGGGTTTTGTTTATAAATTTCACTGTAGGACCACTTTAGCTATGTTCAGTTGAGGAACGCGGCAGATCAGGATGACAGAAGAAACCGAATGTTAACCAGGTTGGTGGCTTCAGTCCGAGTTTTGCGGGGTTTAAGATTTTTTTCCTTTCCTGTTTTAATTGTGCAGCCTCCCTTGGGGCGTGGCTACGACTAGGCTTTGTTGATGGCGATAGTCGTAGTCGGAGGTCATGCAGGAAACCACCTGCTGCAGAGCAAGCGAATGTAAACCGAACATACGTAGGAGGGCAAGTGGGAACGGATGAACGTCGATGGGCGGGGAATGGCTCAGAAAACGGGCTTCCGTGTAAAGCCGGGTGTGGGTCACGAGCCCCGCAGCTGCGTAGATGCGGGGGTAGAGCCAGGCAGTAGTGATGTGATGCTGGGTGTGTTCCCCACGTGTAGCGCCTGACCACCTGTTCCTTCTGTGTCGCCCCTGCAGGTACAATACTCAGAAGCTCACTGAGCTGATATTACAGTTTTATGGCATCAGAGCAGATATGAAGAAGGAATGCAAACATACCAGGATGTCTATGAAAGTATTTCTTGCTGTTCGAGAACTAGCTGGCCTTGTCCGATATTGCCGAATTGGCATAAAACCGCCCACTTAGGACCTAGGAAACCCAAGCAATCTCGAAAACTCTGACAATTCTGAGATGCTCCTATCCCTCTTAAAGATATCGAATCACTTAATTTCATTGATTTAATTTTTTTTAAATACTTGCCACGGATTTCAGTGGGCGGGGAAGGCCTTAGATTATTGAAATGGAAAGCCTCTCTGAATCCAACACCCACGAGTGTAATCCTCAGAAGCTAACCCCGTCTGGCTTTTAAAAAAGAGGCAAGACATGTTTCCCTCCCCTGCTGTAAGATGGGAATTTTAACTCACGTCCCGCCAGGCATGACGTACTCCGAGGAGCGGAGTGCGTTTCGCTTTTAGGAGATAGAGACCTGGAAAATTTAAACTAGAAGGTTGAGAAATGCAGTCATGCTTTCCGTGTTTCTGGAGCGTTGAGTATTACCTTTGTCATAAAAAATGGAGTTCACATTTTTTTCTAGAAACGGTTCTAAGAAAGAGAAATTCTGTCCGTTGTCCATTGTCACGAGTGAATCCGTTTCGAGGCCAAAAGGCAAACGTTTAACCCACTGTTGGCCTCGCTTTTCTGTATCAGGAGATCGTTCCGGGAGGAGCTGGTTTCCACGGCTCATAGTCTCCACCACACGCCCCAAATGACCACCCTAAGAAGCTTACGCTCTAGGCTTCTATAAGCAGAGACCCCCAACCCCTTTCCAACCGCATGATGGCCCCAGCCCTTGCCTTAGGGAGAACTGGGCTTTAGCCGCCAGGGAAAAGCAAAATGTCACTTTCACCCCACCTTCTGTAAATGAAAAGAGGGAAGACAAGTCTGACCAGACGCAAATCTAGAGATTATTTTGGAGGTTCTGTTCCAAAGCCAAAATCAAAAACTTGGTGGGGGCGGG